TATTGTCCACACCGTTTCAGTATACACCCCATATTCTCCTCTTCGGAGCCCAATTTCCTAGTACTCTATCACTCTCTAACAGATCTCTCATAAGCTCCTCGCGACTACCTATTCACTCTCAAGCAGCTCACCTCTCCCTCGGCTAAGGCATCACAAATCAGGGCACTCTAGTCCCAATAGAAATACCTAGCCTACTCTAGCAAGAGAATACATCATATCAGTTTTCATAGACATATAATATAAGGGTATTTTGGGAAATCACCGTTCGGGCGCTGACTGATCGTACACACGTTTCTTCTCTGAGTTTCTCTAAAAATATTTTACTTTTAGAAAAATTTGGTTCTCTTTTGAAAATATTTTCCAAATCCTCAGTGTGAGTTCAAATACTCCTGAAGGTGTACCCGAATCCCTTAAACCAAGGCTCTGATACCAACTTGTAACACCGTAAATTTCAAAACAAAATTTTCAAATTTTATAAAATATAATTCACTTAATATTCATAAAACAACCATATTTGAACATTCAATCCAAGTAATACAAAAATCCCAAGATCTCAAAATCATAAATCCCATGCGTGTGTACTGATCAAGCCGGTGCCTTCCCACGGTCGTCACTAGTACCTGAAACAAATAACACCAAAAACTGTAAGCACAAAGCTTAGTGAGTTACCCAAAATACCACATATAACACATATTAGCCACTCGAGGCTATAACTACGTGGGTCCGTGCACCCAAACTCTGTGAACCCTCAGGTTCTAACTCTGTAAACATGCACAACATAAATCACAAAGAATAATGCAGTGCAACACATAACATATAAATATAGCATACAAGCACTGTATCACATAACTTTATTTACCTACTCAAGGTAAAGTATAGTGAGAAGACTCACCTCGCGTATCTCGGTAATTCGTAAATCCCTGAAATCACTAGTGCTCGATCTCCCGAGCTATAGTCCTCCTATAACACAATACATCTCAAATTAATACTTTCCCAACTAAGGTTGACTATCCCTTAACAAGTCAACGTAGGTCAACACCGGTCCATGGTCAACGGTCAACTTTGACCGGACTCGGCGAGTGCACTTTAGCGACTCGGCGAGTCTATACGCATACACTAATTTCCCTGGGATCCTCACTTGACACGACGAGTATTCTCTTAACTCGACAAGTTCCACCTGGCATGAGTTGTGGGGCCTCCACGACTCAACTCGCCGAGTCTCAAGAACAACTCGGCGTGTCCCAGCTTGACTCAGTCCACCTATCAACCCACTCTGACTCTCCCTGACTCACTGAGTCAATCCCTCAACTCGGCAAGACCACTCGCTGAGTGGTGCTGGGCAATCTTCATGCTACTCGGCGAGTCTGTTCTTGGACTCGGCGAGTCCATGCCATGCAACGACTCAAACTCACTCCTGAGGTCAGATCTATTCCACTAACTCATAGATCCAGTCCTTCCAAGCTTATTTATCACGTAAAGTTGCTATCTTGATGTACATACAACATCTATATGACCATATATGATGATTTAGCCCCAAAAACCACAACTCAAGGTCGTAACCTCCATTGCTCTTCATAAAGCTTGATGAGTGAGGCTCTCTGGACCTCTATGGATCCAGATCCAAAGCCTCATCACTAGAAAGGGACTATTTGGGCATCAAATCAACCCAAAAAGGCCACAAGAAACCCTAATTCCAAATATACTTTATAAAACAGAAGATGAGTTGAATTAATACCGCAAGTGCGATGATCTAAGCTTCAAATCCACAGTATAGCAACCTCCTTTGCTTCCTCTTTGTTAGGACCTCCTTCTTCTTGCTAAACAACACCACAAAGGTCAAGAATGGCTTCCTTTCTCTCTCAAAATGCTCAAGCACTCAGGGGTTTCTCTCTATGTATTGGTAAGCACAAATGACGGCCATAAGGCCCTTTAAATAGGTCTCAAACCTTGGGAATTAGGGTTTCATTACACAGCGTGGACTCGCCGAGTCCAGACGCGAACCCGCATCAAAAATCGCGATCCTACTCTGCGAGTTTGAGCTCCAACTCGCCGAGTCCACTCACAATTCTCCAAAAATATACCAATAATAAATACTTGGAAATTCCAGGCTGTTACAAGGAGAGGATTAGGGGCGAGATTGACAGATTTGTCAATGATGGTCAGGGATTGTTGACTTAGTACGTTCGAGTTTGGGTTTCGGTTTCTGGTGGGATCAAACAACTAGTTTTGGAGGAGGCACATAAGTCTCACTTTTCGATACACCCGGGAGGCACCAAGATGTATCGGGATTTGTGACAAGTTACTGGTGGCCGTGTATGAAGAGAGATAACATGGTACGTTGAGAGGTGCTTGACTTGTAGGATGGCCAAGACTGAGCATCTGAGGCCACATGGCAAGCTACAACCTTTGGAGGTTCCCATCCAGAAGTGGGAACGTATTACCATGGATTATATCATCAGGATAATGAAGAATGCCAACGGTTTTGATGTTATCTGGGTCATTGTGGATCGATTTACCAAAAGTGCCTACTTTTTGGCCATCTGGGAGAGTTCCTCGGCCGAAAAGTTGGTCGATGTGTATGCTCGGGAAATTTTTGCTTGTCATGGGGTTCCGGTCTCCATTATATCGGACCAATATGTTTGGTTCACTTCCCGATTCTGGCAGAAGTTCCCCGAGGAATTGGGTATGAGACTACATTTCAGCACTACTTTTCATCCGCACACTGATGACCAGAGTGAGCAGACCATCCAAACACTTGAGGATATGTTACAGTGATGTGTCATAGATTTTGGTGGGAGTTGGAATACCTACCCACCTCTTGCAAAGTTTTCCTACAACAACAATTATCACTCACTACTAGAAAACAACCTTTTACGACGTGAAATGTGTGTCGTAAAACGCTCAGACCACGTGCAAATGTGCGTCAAGAAAGGCCCTGTCATAACGAGAGACGACATGCTTTTGCGCGTCGTCTATAGACGACGCGTATTTACGATGCGAAATTATGACACGCAATGCGTATCATTAAAAGCCCTATCAAGAAAGGCCATGTCATAAATGAAGATGACACACATTTTTGCGTATCATAAATTTAAATGTTTAAAAAAATATATTTATTAATTTTTAAATTAAATTTGCATTTAATGTCTCATAATAGAAATATAATACCATATAGAAAAAATACAATCCATTGAATAAAATTTAGTGTCACACAATTCTATTTCTTACAATATATAAATTTGCATTCATATAATCTACTGTGTTTCATACAAAAAATCTATTTCATGCGTCTCTTTCCATTTCCTTTATTAGCAGCTTCCATCATTAGTAGTACAACTAACAATTGAAATGAAGAATGCAACACCTGTATATCTCCAAAAAACTTGAAAAAAAACAACAAAAATTTAATGTTTATATATAGCAAGAACATGTTGAATGCATAAAATAACAAGAGGTAATAGCAAGAACATTAAGGTTGTTGATTGCAACAACTAAGCATCTGCTTATGATCATAGTAGATACCATTTTCACAAAAGAGTTGTCTTTATCCAACAAATTGTTAACATGTCTCAATGGTTAATTTGAAAGAAAAAATCTTTATGAAGAAACGGTCCATTAATTAATTTTCTACCCTAAAGTTCAAAATTACACTTCTACCCTAAAGTTCAAATCTAAAAATAAAATAATTCAAAATTACATTTCACCAATAGGTCCTATTTTTGTTAGGAAGTTGCAGACATTACCTTTCCTCAAATTACATTTTATGTAGAGGTGAATCCAGGCAGCAAATGCAAATCAGTACCACTTTCTACTTCTGATGCAAGTAATAATATGGAACATGACCCAAGATAGATGAGGCAGTCAACTACTCGAAAGTTAAATACATATGTTCTCCCAACACTAACATCACAAAAAAAAAACAAATAATAATGAAAATAATTTGTGGCATTCTCGTAAAACACTGATGACCTTTCTATCCCACCATTCACCTGTTTCATTATCAACAATGAACAACGTTACAAAACATATGGTTGGATTAGAAAAATATGTAAATAGCAAAGCCAAAAGGACATGAATTACATACTAAGAATAACAGGAAACTCGAGTGTGTATGCAGCAACCTTGAGTGACTGTAACTGTGATGACAACATTTACATATAGAAATTAAAAATAAATATACAAATTAAAAAAAATAAAATAAAATCAAATAAAAGATAAATTAACATAGCTATGACTCACCTCAAGTCATAAAAAGATATGAACTTTCTGTCAGAGATCACATGCATGGTTATATGATAGATTGATGAGTTATGAAGAGTATCATGCCTCAGGGGTTCCATCTAATGGAACCATGATCTCTGGGAGAACTATTATTGAAGATACTAAAAGTAAAACTAAAGTATAAATGTTATTGAAGATATTAAAAGTAAAACTAAGTTAGAGTTACACTATAGCATTCCATTCTAGCAAAGAACGATATTTTTTTAAACAAAAAAAAAAAAAAAAAACCCTCCCCCATGGATTGAAAATCAGCCCATGAGAAGGCATCACATTCCATAAGGAATGTTAATTTCCATTCCAATGTGGCAAACAAACAAGATTTTTTTTATTCATCCAACACTTTAGAACCTAAACGAATTATATTCTATAATGTCTTTAGTTGACAAAAAGTTGAATGGAAATCAATCACATTCCTTTGCCCTTTTTTGATTCATTTGTAAATTCAACATAATAATATTATGTTGAAATAAAGAATGTGTTTTTGTTTTAATCAATTTATGAGGATAATTTTTCTTTTGGTAACCAAACACACCACATAATGGAATTCAAGATTCCAATTCCAGATCCATTCTAAACAAGCTCTTACATTACTTGATCCACCAAGAATCTGGTGGTCACTGATAACGATTGAATGAAATCAAATTAAATTTTTGGTATGACCATGTTTCTCAAAAGTAGAAAAAAACATGGCATCTATGGTAAAAAGTTCAAAAGACATCTCAGCTATCTAATTGAAGAAACAATTTGCAAACTAGCATCACCTGAGCAGTTTTTTTGATCCCTTGTGCAACTTTGATTTCTTTATGATGAATGTAAGCTCCCTGAATCAAACAACAAACAAACTCATAAAGACATAACAAAACTAATGAATTTGAAAAACAATTGTCAAATTTAAAATGCCGAAAAAGGTTCAAACATATCCTCACCTTTACTCGGAGTTCCTTCATTGGATGAGGAGTCAACATTGATCAGTTTGTTGTATGAATTGACCCCTGAACATGCACATGCATTATTTTTTAAACAAGAAAATAACATCATTCATTCATATATTTATTAATTATAGCATACAAATAGAAAGTAATTCGAATGTAGAAACAAAATGTTTGCACTTACCTGAAAGCCACAAACAACAATTTCATCTCCTTCATGAAGCACACCATTAACCAAAACCACATAAATGGTTGTTCCAAGGTCTTTTATCACTTTAATCTCCAATACCGTACACTACAAAGATTTTCATTCCAAGAATCAGTAATCAGAACTCTCATAGATGGAATAAAGGTGAAATTGGAAAAAGGATATATATATATATATATATATATATATATACACACACACACACACACACACACACACACCTGAATATCACTACTATATGTAAGTTTTTCAGTCATTGTCTTCTGAGCCCATTGGACAAGTAGTAACAACATCTCTGGTATGCCTTCACCACTGTTTTGCCCCAAAAAGCAAAGATTGTGTTCGAAGTTCAAAACCGAGTATTCAAATAGTGTGTGAATAGTAGATCTCATAAAAAAAACTATCTGATAGCACTTGTGGGTACAATACTATAAGTTTCCCCTCTGTCTTTGTTCTTGCTGTACAATTCGGTATTCCATCCTTGCTCCTTGAATTCTTTAATTATCTGAAGTCACAAAGCACAAATCATGAGAAATCCAGCAAGAAAAGAAAACAGATGTGCAGTGTTGGCATCGATTATGTGAGTTACAGCACCCTGTTGGACCTGATGTCACAACATGTCAACTTTTCCATCCTTACCCATCTTATTACCTCCATCTTTACATAGCCAAAAGATGAAATAAATTATTGTCTACACTCATTTGAGCATTTCATCTTTACATAGCCAAAAGATGAATTACTAGAATCGGATCATATTCGAGCCGGTTGACCATATTTCGTCTGACATTTGTGTGCATAATACTCGAAATTCAGAAACCCTAGATATATAAAGCACGCTTCGTGAACACCATAGGAACAAATAAGGAACTCATAATCCATGTGTGCTTGTGAAGGAAAGGGGGGGGGGGAACGAACTAGGGTTAGAATCGAAGGAAATACCTGTAGAATTAAAGAAAAAATTAGCATCTTCTAAGTCCTCTGCTTTTATTTTTCTTAGATCAACTTTTTCTCCAAACCCTATCAATTGTTGGTTCTGATTTTAGGGTTTCACATAGAACACGAAAGAGGTGGTGATGGAGAAGATGGTAGGCGGCGATGGATGGTAGGAATGGTGGGGATGATTGATTACGTTGAGGTTGCAGGTGGTGAGATGTAGCTGGGTCAACCATGGTGGTGGTAGAGAGAGAGAGAGAGAGAGAGAGAGAGAGAGAGAGAGAGAAAGAGAGAGATGGTGGTTAGTCTGATGAGGTGAGCATTCCCGTGGAAGGAGGAGACGCAAGCGGGGTTTTTAATTTTTTGGATTTCATTCCCCCTAAAAAATGAAAACACACGCTAATAGACTAAAATTATAAAGCGACAGGGTAACACGACACGCTTTTAGGATAGGTGCCCTCCGTGTTTTTAATTTGTTTTTTGTTGGACACTAATTTTAGGGTGCACAAAAATGCATGCCCTATATCCTTCAAATTTTCCAGAGCTGACATTATTTTTTAGGGCACGCACAAATGCACGTCCTCTATCAGCGCGCATCATTGTTTACGCATCATTAAAGGGATGTTTTCTAGTAGTAACTCCAACATTGGTCCACCACCTTATGAGCTTCTGTAGGGTCGGAGATGCCATACCTCAGTTTGTTAGGGGGAGGTTGGTCGCCGAGTCATGGGGAGGACTGAGGTAGTCCTTAAGACCATAGAGCTCATCCAACAGATCAGGTAGCAATTGCAGACAGCTCAGAGTCTGCAAAAGATTTATGCCGACCAGCGTCGATCAGAGTTGGAGTTTCAGGTTGGTGATATGGTTCCACTAAAGGTATCACCCTGGAAGGGTGTGGTACGCTTAAGAAAAGGGGGGGGGGGGCACGAATTGGCCCCGAGCATATTGGTCCATTTCGGATGATTGCCAGGATTAGCCAGGTAGCTTATAGGTTGGATCTACCCAAGGAGCTAAGTCAAATCCACAACACTATCCATGTTCTGTGGTTGCAGAAGTGCATGCTGGATGAGAAGGCAGTGATATCTTTGGATTATATCCAGTTCGATGAGCGCCTGAATTATATTGAGCGGCTGGTAACGATAATGGAGAGAGATGAAGGTCCAACACAACTAGGAGATACCTTTGGTAAAGGTTCAATGGCAACATCGTAAGGGCTTGGAGTGGACCTAGGAGCTAGTGGCGGATATGCTGAAGCATTATCTTGAATTATTCGCGGCAGCTAACTGGGAGGGCGAAGTCTAGTTCAATTGGGGCTGAATTGTAACATCCCACTGATGAGGTATTTTCAACTTCAACCCTAAGTATTTAATAATATTGCATTTTGACCCCTTCAATTGAAAATGATTGCAAAATCGCCCAAAGTAGCATTTTGGTAATTTTGGACAAAGGGGTAGTACATTGGGCGTACGTATGTGCGCTGAGCGTACTGGGGCGGACCCTAGTACGCTGGGCGTACACCATGTATGCATGACGTACGTGAGAAAAGTTTAAACCCTAATTATAGGTTTTGGTCAATATAAAAGCATCATTATCTCTCATTTCTCATCCCCTCACCGTCCCCCATCTAAGAAAAATGACCCCAAGCTAACCCTAAATGAGAAGAGTGCATCTTCACCTTATCTTTATGTTCTTTTGGTATTCATGAAGAAGAAGGTGATGAGAAGAACCTGGAGCTTGGAAGCAACTTGGATCCGAGACTATCTCCTTGCTAGCAACTTCCAAGAGGTAAAAAGTTCTTAACTTGATCACCTTATCTTGTAGATCTAGCCATTTCTTCATTTAGAGCACTTTTGGTCCCAAATATGGTGATTCTGGAGCATGGCATGCTCTTAACCGAATAAGTCATCCTTTCAGACCTTATAAGGGTTCTTGAGTCATAAAATGTGTTCTTGATGCTTAGTTTTTCACTACGCATGCTCTAGAAGGTCTTAAGGCATTAAGATGATGAGGTTTTGTATATTAAGCACGTAATGGACATGCAAAGTCATAAAGTTGGAAAATTTATGACTCTTACTGGTATTTTAATTAGCCTTGGATCTGCATTTGAATGTATTAAGTTGAATGATTAAGCTCTTAATCGGTTAAGAAGAGAACTGTTGTGTATGTCGTGCGTACCAAATGGTATGCTGAGCATACGCAGATTTGGTCTCGACGTGTAACGCTCGATCATGGTAGTTTTTCTATTTTGGTCCTTATATATTTACTTGTAGCTTTTGACCTTGTTTTGCAAAATTGGAATGGGAGGAGGGGCCATTTCTATCATTCTTGGATTCTGGAGGTGGAGCTCGAACACGGGGCATTCCCTTGGGGAACACAACGTGTTCACATGCAAAGCTCAAACCCTAATTTTTAGGGGTTGAGGCCTATTTAAACACCTTAAGTCCCAGGTGTTGGCCTCATTCTTTGTCTCCATAGCCCTCTAACCCTAATCTCGAAACCCTAGAGCCTCCAAGAGTGTTGTGGGCCCATTGTATATGTTTTGGTGTGTGTTAGAAGCTCATTAAAGGAGGAGAAGCTTGACACAAGGTGGTGATTCATGAGGAGCTCATAGATTTTGACTCTCTTCTACATTTACAACTCATTTGAGGTATAAATCTCTAATATTGCTCATGAAGAGCTTAGATCTAGGTTTTCATGGATGTTTGTCCCTTTTTCGACCATAGTTGAGATCTAGTAGTTGTAATCACTTCTGGGGCTTTGAGTTGCTCCTCTTGGCATTTTTAAGGTTGTAGATTCATAAAGTTTGCACCTTTAGAGTTGTATATGCCCCATGCATGAGATTTAGCCCTTTTATGGGAATGTAATGCTATATTTTGAAGTTGGAACCGTTTACGGCATGCAAAGTCACCAAGTCAATGACTTTATGTTTCTAGATGCACTTTAGGACTTACATTCATAATTTGGTCAAGTGGCTTTAAGCATTAAGTGCTTAATAATCCCTTTTTGGAAATAGCGCACGAACGCCCTGCATAGGTTTGAGGAACGCCCTGCGTTCCGACTTTGGTTCGCGATCCGAGTCGATGATGAACGCCTATCGCTCACCAGGGAACACCGTGTGTTCGGAGCATCAACGGGCTTTTGGACTTTTACCTTGGACTTGAGTTTTGGGTTTTGGTCTTGGTAGTTTGGGCCCATGTTGGGCTAAGGACTTTGAGATATTGGACTCCTGGTTGGACATACTCTTTTGGGCCTAAGATTATATATTGGTCCTAAGTGGGCCCAATGGTCTTGGACCAATTGGGCCTAGTAGTAGCTTGGGTATTTTAGGGTCAAGATTTGGTTTTAGGCCTTGGTCCAATTAGCAAAAAGGTAAAATGTACATTTATCCTAAGTATGATTTCATAACTTAAGGATTGTATTCGAATTGTTAATTGGATGTTTATTTACGGTGATAGTCTGGGGTCTTCTGTGAGTCAGCAGTCGGGGATTTCATTGCAGTGTGACATTTGAGAGGTGAGTTTTCCTCACTGTACTTAAGGGTCTAAGGCACTATGTTCGTCCCTTTGGATTGTTATTCTTATTATTGTATGATTGATTATTGTAGTGATTTGTTAGATATGAATCCCGGTAGATAGGATGATACTTTGCTTATTGATATGTATGATCTGTGCTTGCATGTTGATTGTTTATATGTTTATGAGGTATGTAAATGTCAACATATGTGTGGTTGGGTTGAGGCGGTCCTACTTTGTGCTAAAGGCCAACAGACCAAGGGTGGTTTGGATAGACTGAAGGCCTATGAGGAGGACCTGTCAGGCCGAAGGCCTGGAGATCGGTCCAGATAGGCTGAAGGCCAAGTGAGGCGGTCCAGTCATGCTGAAAGCTCTGTATGCATGTTTTTGTTTTTTATGTTGATGTGGTGGTACTTTAGGGAAAATTCACTTAGCTTTGGGCTTACAATTTTGAATTGTGTTTCAGGTACTTCCGAAGATCGTGGCAAGACGAAGGCGTGATCGTGCACCTCCTCATGTTCTTGTTTTATGATTTTGGGATTTCTTGGACGTGAAACTTATTTTGAAAACAAATTGTAATAAATGATGATTTTGTGGTTGTTTAAAAGTTTAATTTTTTTCAAGAATTTTATGAATGTTACACGACGTCTCGGACCGCTAGTATACCCCGCGTTGAGTTGACTCGGCTGGTTTGACTCGATTGACTTGTTGATTTTGACTAGTTTTGACCAAGGGTATTTTGGGAAAATGTTATTAATTTAGAATGGGAAATGTTTTGATATTTTGGATTTAGGTTGAGCCGGTTATCGGAGCTGGGAGTTATTCAGACTGTATTCAGATTATGAGGTGAGTTTTCCTCACTATAACCGTGGGTCGAAGGCACCAAAGCCGATCAACTAGATTATTTATCCTAGTCATTTTAATGAGATGATAGTTGTAGCTATTCG